AACATCACAATCAAGGACAGGTATGCCCTGCCATTAATCAATGAACTACACGATAGATTTCAAGGAGCAAAGATCTTCAGTAAGCTAGATCTGCGAGGAGCATACAACCTGATCCGAATCAAGGCTGGGGAAGAGTGGAAAACAGCATTCCGCACCCGCTATGGCCTATTCGAGTATCAAGTCATGCCCTTTGGGCTAACAAACGCACCCGCATCTATGCAACGACTGATGAATGATGCTTTGCACGAATACTTAGACATCTTTACCATTGTCTACTTAGACGATGTCCTGGTGTATTCAGCAACCAAGGAGGAGCATGTCAAGCATGTCAAACTCGTCCTGAAGAAACTAAAGGAGTACAGCTTACTCCTCAAACCAGAGAAGTGCGAGTTCCATAAAAACCAAGTCGAATTCTTGGGTTACATTATTGGAACGCACGGCATCAAGATGGACCAAGCAAAAGTAACGGCAGTGTTGGAATGGCCAACACCGACCATGGTCAAGGAAGTGCAAGCCTTCCTAGGCTTCGCCAACTTCTACCGAAGATTCATCTCAGGATATTCCAAGGTAGCTCAACCACTCACGGAGCTTACCAGAAAGGATCTCAAATTCAAATGGACGGACAAGGCAGAGGCTGCTTTCCAGGAACTTAAGATGAAGTTCACGGAAGCACCTATCCTTGCTACATTTGACCCTGCAAAGAAGATCATCCTCGAAACGGACTCTTCTGACTTCGCAATTGGAGCATGTCTGAATCAACCAGACGAGAACGGTAAGTTCAAACCAATCGCGTACTACTCTAGGAAACTGTCACCCGCGGAACTCAATTACGACATCCACGACAAGGAGCTACTGGCTATTGTCGTTGCCTTTGAGCAGTGGCGAGTATATCTTGAGGGACCCACCTACCCTGTGCAGGTATGGACGGATCACAAGAACCTCATATACTTCACCACGACCAAGGTTTTAAACCGCAGACAAGTCCGCTGGGCAGAAACCCTCGCAGCCTACAACTTCACGATAACCTATCGCAAGGGCTCCGAGAATGCAAGAGCAGACGCTCTCAGCAGACGGACCGACTACGCCGGCCCAAAGGAAGAAAGACCTAGAGCAATTCTGAAGAAAACAGATGCAGGAATACAGTACAACGAGTTACTAGCGACGATCTCAGTCATCGAAGATACAGAACTCGAGGAAAGACTCAAGAAAGCTTACGCAACAGACAAATGCGCCAAGCGAGTCTTGTCCAAAGTCGAAGGCGACTTCACCATCGACGAACAAGGATTGATTCGATACAAAGGGTTAGTGTATGTCCCAAGTCAAATGAGACGCCCGCTGGTGCAAGAACAACACTCGTTACCAGCACACGGTCATCAGGGAGTAACACGAACCTTCGAACGAATCACCCGACACTACTACTTCCCAGGTATGAGGAAGCAGGTAGAGACAGTGGTAAGAGAGTGCGACATTTGCAGCAAGTCAAAATCCAATAGGCACCTGCCATACGGACAACTCAAGTCGACACCAGTACCAAAAGGAGCGTGGAAATCAATAGCTTTGGACTTCGTCGTCAAGCTTCCACCCTCCAAGGACCCGTTAACAGGAATAGAATACGACTCTATCCTCGTCATCACGGAAAGACTCACGAAATATGGGAAGTTTATACCATATCTAGAAGCTAGCGACGCCGAGGCGCTCGCATATACCTTTATTCGAGTCATATTAGCCGATCATGGGATGCCAGAAGAAATCATCTCAGATAGAGACAAGCTCTTTACTTCGAAATTCTGGAAATCATTGATGGCGCTACTGGGAACAAATCATAAGCTATCAACAGCTTTTCATCCCCAGACAGATGGCCAAACAGAAAGATTAAATCAGACCCTTGAACAGTACCTGCGAAGCTATGTCAATCATCAACAGGATAACTGGGTTCAGATCTTACCCATCGCACAGTTTGCATATAACAGCGCGATGACAGAAGCAACGAAAGTCTCACCGTTCTTTGCCAATTACGGCTACCAGCCAGAAGCATATAGGCAACCAAGACCGGATGAATCACGAGCTGAACAAGCCCTGATCGTGGTGGAACAACTGAAATTGTTCCACGAACAACTTGCGACGGACATCCAATTCTTAAATGAACGATCCGCTGCATACGCAAACAAGAAGCGCAGTATGGAACCTGCCTTCAAGGAGGGGGATAAAGTATACCTACTCCGGAAACATATCAAAACGAAACGACCAAGCACAAAGTTGGACTTCAAGAAATTGGGACCATTCAAAATATTGAACAAAGTCAGCTCAGTTAATTACAGACTGCAGCTACCCAAGAAGTCTAGACTACACCCAGTATTTTATGTCTCACTACTGGAACCAGCAAGAGGAAATACCCCAATTGCGACCGACACCGAACTCCAACCCGAGAATGAGATAATCGAATATGAGGTCGAAGCGATCCTAGACAGAAGGTTAGTAGGACGTCGAGAAGAGTTTTTGATAAAATGGGAAAATTACGAACCTACGGATAATTCGTGGGAACCAACAAGGAACATCAGCAAAGAACTGCTGGAGGAATATCGACGCCGCCATCCGCCAGCCATTGATCCCAAGATGCAGGGGAGTAGGCCAGTGGATCGGAGGAAGCGGGGGTCCCGGTCACAGATGAGGAGGCAGCGCTAACTGCCTGTTCCTCGGCCTCAACAGCGTCACGCTTCTCAGCAGCCACACGTTCGGCCTCCTCTGCCGCATCAAGCTCGTCGAGGGTTTTCAAACCTCGCCGGAGCATATCTTTACCACGGGTTCGGATGAGGCGTTTCTGCTTCCGCAGACGAAGTAACTTCGAAAGGGTTTCTTCCTCTTCGCGATCCAGGCGATCCTCCTCCCGTTCGAGCTTCACCCAGTCGGGATGCTCAGGACCCATACAGTCACACTTTTCTTTCAAGTTGTGACTAACACACTCGGCGCACCGCCGTGAATCATTTGGAGACGACACGCAAGTAACGTTTCGCCTCACGCAGTTCGAGCAACAAACCATTTCGGGTAGTTCGTATCCGTGGTTCTTTATTCTACGGACAAGATCGTTGCGTTCCTGGAGTTTGCGGGCAGTGTCAGTAGGCATGTTGCATGTTGAAGGACTCGCTGAGGAGCAGCAGAGTCCCGGGGGCATGGACGTACTTATAGGATTCGAGACGAATGCCCAGGGGAAGGGAGCGAGTGTTACGACGGAACAAGAAGGCTGGCCAACTACAGGACAGGAAGGAGGGAGGTCGCATGAGACCGGCCCTGGTACCTGGAGGGGCAGCGGGGAATAGTAGTTCCGAAAGTATCACGTGACGGACTCGCAGGATGATGAGAAGAGTCCTAAGAGTCCAGGACTCCGAGGACTCGAGTGAGTTCCCAGGAGTCCACTAGGCACGTGACAGACTTGCAGGATGATGAGAAGAGTCCTAAGAGTCCAGGACTCCGAGGACTCGAGTGAGTTCCCAGGAGTCCACTAGGCACGTGACAGACTTGCAGGATGATGAGAAGAGTCCTAAGAGTCCAGGACTCCGAGGACTCGAGTGAGTTCCCAAGAGTCCACTAGGCACGACGCCACTATATAAGTAGATAGTTAGTTCTTAGATAGGAGCTTCGTGCTCAACTCAATACAGTATTTGTTATATACTAGTAACGTGTTACTTGAAGCCTTTGTGTCTGATCCCCTGCCTCCTCTGATAAGTAAACCTTTACGCAAGAGAACCTCTGTGCCTTCTATCGTTTAGAAGTCAGCGTTACAAGCACTTGCTAAAAACCCAGAACATCACCAAAAAACCAAGCATATCCGAATCAAGTATCACTTCACAAGAGATGCGATTAAAAACGGAGAGGTTACTGTATCCCATATACCAACAAACCAGGAGGTTGCTGACATTCTAACTAAAGTGCTACCTTTCATCAAATTTATCACTTTTCGCCATGACCTAGGAATCCGAAACGACAAATTCGCCTAACAACCACTAAACGACGGAAAAGAAAGGGAACATCCAAGTGAAGGGCCTCGCGGAAAGAAAGCAAAGGGCCCTATCCTAAGTGGGAGCTGACACCGAGCGAAAAGTCGCACATCCTAAATGAAAGCTACGAGAAAGAAACGAAAAAGGGAGGGGTAAAAAGGGGCACCCTACAAGAACTCATGACGCTACCAACCACGAACTACAGAAAGGATTACAGGCTACAGATACAGAAAGGTTACTATTACGACACCGATGTAGGGTTAGAGTGGGAGTGTTGAAAACAGCCCTGGGGCTTTGGCACTAGAACGCCAGCTTCACCGGCGATCACTAAACTGCTCCCCTGACATCGGTCAAGGTTTGCACCCGTTCCTGAAGTTGGCGCTAGGCTACTTACTAACTGTAACTAGATCCAACCCCGCAGCTGGTGTGGTGGATGGTGCTGGCCGAGGATAAAGTCGAATCCATCTATTGTAAAGCGTAGCCCTAAGGGTCTCACGGGAGTCCAGGGAACCAGGTCAGGGGGCAGGAAAGGATCGTATTGCTGTAGGGATTGGTCTCAAGAACAGCGAGGAGATCTAGAATTATAGTAACCTTGCTCGCTCACCTTCAATATCAATTTTCTCACCACATCCACGACCAATACTTAGGGCAGTAACTTCTTTCCTCGTTTGCCTAGTTGAATAATGCCATACTATGCCACCATAAGATACCCTCGCGCAGAAAGATGTATTCCCCCTTCCCCCTAGAATCAGCTATTATATATCCTCCCCATTGCGCCGCCAACCCCCCCATTCCCATACCTTCTATCCGTACAACCCAGACATCTACTATGCGTCTATCCAACACCCTCTTAGAAAAAATAACCCGTCCCTCCCACAAACGCCAACCTCCACAACACGAAAACAATCCTGGTACTCCCAAATCAACATTAAATCCCACCACTCCACCCCCCCAACCCACCCCAACTCCATCTCCTCTCCCCCCATCCACCTTCCCCACCCCCAGACCCCTCGCGTCACCTCTCCGGTATCACAGCCCTCGCTAGCCGTCCCCCAGCACTAACACGCTTCTGCAACCTCGCCTCCCTCGCCCTCTCCTTCTCCGCAGGACTACTACTAACAGCACCAGCCCCCAAAGCACCTGCCCCAGGCAACGGCGCAATGCGATCCCCTAGCTTCTCTCCCCTCCCAAGCTTAACATCCACATACAGCTTCGCGGCCCTAGTGAGCGGGAACGCCGGCAGCGCAGCCGGTACCTCGGCGCCATTCTGCACGAGCAACTCCGCGACCGGGAACGCGACTCTCTTCGGCTTGTCTGCTGTGCGCGGCGGCGCTGGCGGAAGCGATGATGAAGGAGACGCCGGATCCGCGGCCGCGAGGGCGAGGAAGACGACGTGCGTGGCGCGGGATTTGTCGGTTGCGTTTGGGTTAGCGCGGAGAGCGAGGGCGTATAGAACGGATTGGATCTCGTTCTTCTTGATAGCAGCTAGGAGCGTCTCATCCGGCGTACCGTAGCGGGATAGCGTGGGTGACAGCGGCGCGACGTACGCGCGGTCGACGTACTTGGCTGTTATGAACTTGAGGCGCTGGTCGCGCGCTGCTTGTGGGGAGGGCTTGAGCGAGGCGTCCAGACGCGCTTCCCAGATGGTGTTGGAGATGCGGTTGCCGACGGCGAGGAGGAGCTCGACGATATCGGCGGTGAAGGAGGTGATGTCGAGGGTTAGGGAGCGGACCTTTGAGATGTGCGTGCCGAGGGAGCGGTGGATTCCGCTGCACTCGATGCACATGATGATGGCGAGGTTGATGGAAACCCATTCCGTCTTGACACCGGATCCGCAGTCGGCGCACCAGCAGTTGCCTTGGTCGGCCTCGCGGAGGACTTGGAGTAACTTGTCGGGGCTCTCGTCGAGGGCGGCGCTGGATTTGCGCTGGTAGGCGGGGCGCGCCCCGACGGTGGTGCGGCGGAAGATGTCGTTTTTGTTGAGGACGGAGGAGTTGATGGATTGGTGAGCGGCGTGGCCCAGGGAACCGCTCTTGCCCGTTAGGATGGAGCCGATGTCGCGCCTGATAGAGGATCCTTCCTGTGGAGCTCTTGGGGCTACGACAATGTCCTGAACGCCTCGGCCTTCCATGGCGCTCTGAAGCGCGTTGTTGATGGCTGATATCCAGCTTGTCATGTCTTCTTGTGATGTAGACTGGTATACTCTGGTATAATGGGGAGTGATCACTTCGAAGCAGAACCGCCGCTCGGCATTCCTGGCCTCTCGAACAGATGCCAAGCGGAGGTCGATAGGGTCCATGTGGAGGTCGAGCTGTTCCTTCCAGTTACTGTATTCGGAAAGCTTCCCTTGGTCAAGGACGATCCAAAATCTACTGAATGTTAAGAGAAGCTCGTGCAATACTGTGGTAAAACTTACTTGTGCCAAGACTGCTTGTTGAGTCCCTTTGGATCGACATGGCTACCGGGCTTGCTCAAAGCCCACAAAAGTCCCTCCTTCCTCTCCGTACCAACTCTTTCGTTGGAGCTGCTGAGGCTGTAATCCTTCTCCTCTAGATCCCGGATTCCCTTGAATTTACTGAACTCTCTAGGGCTTGGCAGAGGTACACTTGCAGACGTAGTGGCTGGTTTTGAGCCGTCTGATGGCGCACTTTTTACGGATATCGAGAGGGGTGGGTTGGTAATGCCGTTCACAGTCGGTCGTAATCGTGACGCTGAGCTGTCTGCTCGTCCGATATCCGAATCCGAGAGATGAGCAGTATTAGAGGTACCTGCGGCGCCATTACTTGACTGCGGTGGGCGCGCCAACTGTGGAACAGTCTCTGGCTCGATGTAGGTAACAGTGCTCATTTCAAGGTTTCGTCGCTTTTCCTCGCGCTCTGTCCTCATGTACTGGAACTCCTTATCGGCCTCCTTGACTTCGGTGCTGAGCGCTTCAAGCTGCGGAAGCATTGCTTCCACCTTCTTCGCAGTGGTAAGGTAGTTTTTAGTTTGGCCATCGGCGTACTTTGTCAGATGCGACAAGACTTCTTGCTCTTTCCGTCCACCATGGAGATCCTGCATGAAGGAGGAATAATCAAACCGCTTCAGCTCGAAATTCCGCCGTTTAGCCTGGTACTTGGTATCGCTCTCTACCCGCTTCTTGTCTTTCATAGTATCCTGACGCTGTCCGAGATACCGCGAAACATACGAATAAAACTCCTTGCTCTCCTCCTCAAAGTCTCGCTTTTTGGACTCTGCTTTCTTAATATCTTGCTCATATACCTTGCTCAGAGGGTCTATAATAATTCTCTGTAAATTCTTAGTGTTCTGCTTCTCATAAAGCAATATCTCTTTCGCGATTTTGTCGAAGTAATGATCTAACGCTGGCTGCACCGCATTCGCGTTCGATGAGGATGCTTCCCTAAGAGCTTCCATGAACCCAGACATTGCATCATTGCATTCGATTTGCGCCATGTGGGCTGCCTCTGCCCGTTTAATGACCTTCTTCATGCGAGCGCGCATATTCCCCGTCTTCTGCTCCAACGACTTCATGGTCGCGCGGAACAGGGGCCCATCTTCAGTGGCGCTGAGATCTTCTCCAGGCCGCTGACACGAAACGTCCACTTTTGGTAATTCTAGCTTTCCTGAGCCAGACGACTGCGGCGGACCATCAGCTGGCGCTAGTATGGGAGATGGGATGTCTTCGTAGTCCTTTGAATCGAGAACGCTCTGTCGCGAGTCTACAGATTGTGCCGAGGGGACGCGAAGTTTCGGAGGCGCATTCAGCGCAAACAGCTGGGAAGGCGAACTTGGACCGCTGGGAAGATACTGGACGTTATGGACCCAGAATGAGAATGTCGCCAGAGTATTTAACCGGTGGGCTCGCTGGTCGTATTCTACGAAGCTGCAGCAGTTCCTCCAGCCGCCTCCTTTGTCCTCCGTGGGCTTCGGGGGCCTCCATTTCCACGTCCAGTCGAATGACACGGACTGGCTCCCCCCGGTTGCGTAGTCGCCAACAAGCTGGACATTCGCATTCTTGTGTAGATTCGGATCGGCATGGAACTCGAGGGTGACTAAGTTTTCCACCTCCTTGGCAGTTGATGCGGACACATATGTGAGTCCGTTGAGCGCCGTATCGACCAAGGCGTCGCGGGAAGAACCACTTCCAGGTGATGATGGCTGTTGTGACTGGCGTATGATGAGTGTGTATGTGAATGTGAGCTCCTCGTCGTTGTTGATCTTCACAAGAAAATTCGGCACGGCGGAGGAGGCGGGTGATGGGTCCGGGTCCTACAATCGAGAGGTCAGACATATCAAAGCGGAAGCAAGGGATCGTTCCGTACCTGAACATATTCAACGATGCTCTGATCGCTGGCGTCACGGCTCGCGCTGACCTTCGTCGCTGGGTACGAATTTGGCACGACATGGGCAACGACGCGGCGTTTCGAGTTCGTCACCGCAAGAGATGCGATTGAGACTAAGCGCACAAATCTGATTAGCATCGTCACATATCTACTGTGGCAGGATATGAAGCTTACAGCGAGACTGATCCCTAAGGTAGAGAGCAGCGCCATCCTCCGGTTTGCTGCTGGTAACTCCCATGATGAAAGGCTACCCCGCCAAAGAAGCAGGGGCGGTCGTGCAATTCGCGGACAAAGGCGGTGGAATCGAGGGTCTAAAAAAATGGCTGGGCGATGTTCTGGCATCGGTGATTATGAAGTATCCAAGAACAACATATATATCGAATGGGCGATGATGGTTGGGAGGAGTGATGGCGCAACAGCCTGGAGGGACGTGTTGGTCGTGACCAGAAGTTCGCGTGCGGTGCGGGAGGTTCCCCAGATGGGTCTTTGAGCGCCTAAAAGTAGAGTAGCCTCGAGTAGGCTACTCTATAAAGTCGTGTAGTGATTATAATTGGCCGACACAGCATAAATTAGAAATTAGATGTTGGTTTCATAAAGATGTTGGTTCTTTCTTCTCTTCATCTCTTTCATGCCTTGCCGATGCTACGCATCGACGTTGTTCCTGAATCTGAATCTGAATCTGAATCATACAAAATACATAGGTTACAGCATGAGTAACTTACATACATGCAGGGCTCTTCAAGGGATTTATTATTCAGCTACTGACCCACAGCATCTTTGCAAAACGGCGCATGGAACAGTACAGTACGTATTACATTACGTATTATCGACTTCAACGACAACGACGCAACGCTTGCTTGTCGATCACCAACGGGCGATGAGAGACTGTGCCGCAAGGCCTCATTGTTGGACGCCTAGTTTAGGATATGCCATGCGCCTCATCCAACAAATGCCTTCTGTACGCTGGTGACCCAGAAGTGCTCGTATATGAATGAGTGCGTGTCTGTCTTGTGGGCCAGCCAGGTGGTTGTCTGTCAACTGCGTCTCATGATTACGACGACTTAAGCACAGTGTAGGCTTCAGCGATACTGGCAAGTTACGACCAGGTTGCAGAAAGTAAAGCGATACTGGCAGAATGCAAGGCTTACAAAGGTCATACAGAGCCATCAGGCAAATGTGTTTGTTTTAGTGCGGAATATATGGATACGACTATGATTATAATTATAGAAAGATTTCCCGTCTGATATGCAGAGGCAATACACGTGGATCGCACCAACTACAACACCATCACCAACATCATGGTGCAAAAAAGGTCTAAAACTGCTCAAGAGCTTAATTTACGACTGTTGGAAGCAGTTCAAGGAGTAAAGACTGGAAATTTTAAATTAGCTTATGCTACAGCACAGGCTCTTAGTCTCCACCCTAATACTGTAGCTACTAGATTCTAGGAGAGGTTGTAGAGGAAGTATGCTAAAATAAATGCTAGGTCTTCTAGGTGAGTTAGGTAGATGTACTAGTTAATTGACCAACTTGGCAAATTAAGCTCTTAAGTAAGCTGTTACTTAAGAGCTTAATTCCTAAGTCTTAGGAGCTAGGACTTAGCTAAGCTAACTAGTAGCTTAGCAGACCCTGTTAAATCGATCAGCCTAGTAAACCTAATTAGCTAGGTAGCTTAGCAAAGCTAACTAAGCTAACAAAGCTAACAGAGCTAACAGACTTAGAGCCAACTTGCTTAACACTAACAGAACCAAACCTAGGTAAGTTGACCTAAATTAGCTAGTAGATTAAGCTAACTTAGGGGTTTAGTAGATTAAGGCAGCCTAAAGCTAGCTAATTTAGAGTCATCTAGCTCAAAGCTACTAAAGTTAAAGCTATACAAGATAGAGCCAACCTATTCAACTAGAATATATTATAAACCTTCCTCTAAGTAAGTCCTAGGTTCTATGTGTTACGGCTAAGTGCTAGTGCTATGGCTAGCGCTTACGGCTGCAACCTCACATGATGGATAACATTGGATATCATGGATATTATGTTATCCATGTTATCCACAGGGATCCATGGAATATCAGGTGATGGATAACATTGGATATCATGGATATTATGTTATCCATGTTATCCATGGATATCCCTTTGGCACGATGCCACTATATAAGTAGATAGTATTTCCTTAGATAGGAGCTTCGTGCTCAACTCAATATAGTATTCTTTACAATACTGTAACGTGTTACTTGGAAAGCCTTTGTGTTTAATCCCCTGCCTCCTCTGTCAAGTCAACCTTACTCAAGAAACCTCTGTGTTTTCTATGGTTTAGAAGTCAGCGTTACACTATGCTTTATTTAGTGGCATCTACACCTCTAACTTATGCTAGGGAGAAGGGTAGAAGTATAAAGGATAAATGGAGCTATAAAAGAAGTTCTAAAGGAGTGGTCTAAGGCCTATAAGAGCCTTATAATAGAGCAAAAAATCAAAAACTATGTTAGGAGTAAGCCAAATATCCTTAGATCATTAGTGCACATAGATAATAGTTTAGCTAGAAGCTAAATATATTACAAGAAGTTAGACTATAGCCTATGTTCCTCTCCTTAAGAAAGGTCTTGTAAACAACCTATACTATACCATTGAATATAGATGTAACGCTACTTCCTATCTAATAGGATGCATAGAGGTTTCTTACATAAGGTTTAACTTAACAGAGGAGGCAGGGGATCAGACACAAAGGCTTTCTAAGTAACACATTATAGTATTGTAAAGAATATTATATTAAGGAGCACAAAGCTCCTATCTAAGGAAAAACTATCTACTAATATAGTAGCATTATGCTGTCTAGTCTATAGACCATGTAGGATCAGTCATGTCCTATGACCTCCTTATGACTTATGGATCCTGTCTGGTCTATAGACTATGTAGGATCAGTCTGTAACGCTGACTTCTAAACGATAGAAGACACAGAGGTTTCTTGCATAAGGTTGACTTGACAGAGGAGGCAGGGGATTAAACACAAAGGCTTTCCAAGTAACATGTTACAGTATTGTAAAGAATACTATATTGAGTTGAGCACGAAGCTCCTATCTAAGGAGATACTATCTACTTATATAGTGGCGCCATGCCAAAGGGATATCAAGGATATTTTGGATAACATATCCTCTGCTACCCATCATGTGGGGTTGTGGCTGTAAGCGCTAGCCTTGTGACTCACAGGTCACATTACTAGAGCCTAGCCCCGCTAGCCCTGTAACCATGATGTCACGTTACCATAGCCGTAACACAGTCATGTAGTCCTAGTCTCATGACCATTTCATAATTCTTGCGTAACTCATGCGTGACTTATGACCACAGCCTTTTAATGGGTTAGGTCAGTGGCACTTGCCCCTGTGACCTTCCTATGACTTACACATTCCTTGTCTTAGCGCTACTAGTATGGGCTGTAACAGCTGTAACAACAGACCCCTTTAACCAGTTACCTAAGCTCTAACTATGACACTTAGCTGTTACATATACATAAGTTAGAATGGATACAGGAATACATTAAAGCAAGAGAAGCTGCCTTTTCAATTTCAAATATTAAGTCTATATAGAGAGGGTTAGGTCTTAAGCCATTCTAGCCATAATGGGTCATAAGAGCAGCAATACTACCACCTCTAACTTTTGCTACACCTTAAAGGCCTAGGACTCCTATAGAGCATGACATTTTTAAGAAAGTGTTCTAGACAAGTAGTCCTCTAGATTTTAACACCCTCTAAAAAGTGAATTCTATGCTCTTAAAGGGCTTATAAACACTCCTATAAAGTTATACATCCACAAGCTTATAGATGAGACAGAGAGTCTTAATACACACTACATACTACAGAAGAGAGAGGTTAATAACTTACATAATATAATGCAAAGGAGAAGGGCTTAGAAGGGCAAAATAGCAGTTTTGAAGGGTCAATTTCATGTGTCTACTAAAGAATTGAGGTTCAAGTGATTGAGGCTGAAGCAGCTACAAAAGCTAATCATGCAGCTACACCTCCCTCAAGAACTCTCACTTCGGGGGCCACACCTCTTTCCAAGAGGTGTGGTGCAGCATTATAGATGTGCAACGTTATAGAAGTGGGGCAGATTTGGATTATGTAACCATATACTACAATAACACTTCTATACTATACCTCTCTGTATTCTCAACAACATGTAGCACAATATGCCTAGGGTGCCATTCAACGAAAAAACAGAAGCCCAAGTACAAGACATTCTTGAAATGTGGCATCGCGACCCCACTTGTTCCCTCTATTCCCTTGCAAAAGAGCACAACTGCCTTCACTTATATCCGCAAATCAAACATTGTTACAATGGAATCCCAAGTGTTGCAGGACAAGGAGGACAGAATAAGGCATTGAGCAGTGAACAAGAAGCTGCTCTTTTGAAGTATATTGATCAATGTATTAAGTTTGGGTTTCCTGCTTTACATCGAATGATCCGACAAGCTGCACAGTATATGCTCAAGCAAGAAGATAGTCATATACAACTTGGACCACAATGAACAACTCGATTCCTACACCGAAATTCACACCTCCTTCATCTTGTGAAAATTGCTTCACTATCTGCAGAAAGAAGAGCAGCAACAAGCAAAGACGATATCCTCGCATGGTTTTCCCTACTTCACGACTGTCTTACAAAATACAAATCCATCATGAAGATATTTGGAATTTCGATGAAACGGGATTTCGAATTGGCTGTTATAAGAGTACATTTGTGATAACTCATATACAACAACACAAGGCATATATACCATCTGCTGATAATTGAGAGTCACTTACAACTATTGAGTGTATACGTGGTGGAGGTAGATATATTCCCTCTTACATGGTTGTTGCCGCTCGAGTTATTTCCTCAAAATGGATTGCTACAAATCTCGACTCTCGGATTACAATTACAGTTTCTGATTCTGGCTATACAAATGATGAGATTGCTTTACAATGGTTGAAGCATTTTGATTTTTATTCAAAGGAAGGAATAAAGGGAACATATCGACTTCTCCTTCTTGACAGACATCTCTCTCATTTAACAAAAGACTTCATTGATTATGCTCTTGCAAATCAAATTATCCCATTCTGCCTTCCACCTCATTCAACTCATTTACTTCAGCCACTTGATGTTCAAGTTTTCCAACCTTTCAAACACTATCATTCGCAAATGGTTGACCGATCTGCAAGAACTGGCGATATGACATTTGACTGTGTTGAGTTTTTTCATGCATTTCAAGAGATGCATGATCTAACCTTTACAAGAACTACAATCCTCTCTGCATTTCGAAAATCAGGCATTGTACCATTTAATCCAGATATACCCCTGCAAAAGGTTGTTGAATTCAAGCCCTTTGAAATCAACATTTCAAGTTCATCACCAATACGGCCAGAAGATACAGATTCCTTTCTCTCCCAACCTCACAAAGAATCAGATTTTAGCAATACTCCACAAGATCCAAAGAAGCTATTACGCCATGGAGATTATCTTCTCCAAATCTTTGATATAGAAACTACAACTATAGATCAATGGGAATCACTTCAGGCATTTATAAAAGGAGCAAAGGTAGGTATATTTGCAGGAGAGCTTGCACATCGTGATCTCGGTTCAATTTATTCTATATCTCAAGCAAAGACAAAGCGGAAGAGAGAAGGAGGATTCCAATTGCAAAAGGGTGGAGAAGTTACTGTTGCAAATGCTCGGGGATCAATTAAATATAACAAGGTACAAGAGAAGGAGAAGGATGCCCTAGCTCTTATACGTCTAGTTAAAAAGAAGAAGCAAGAAGAGGCAAAGCAAATAATAGACGAGCATCCTTATATTCTTGATATTGCACAAGCTGCAAAAGAGCGTACAAAGCAGGTTGCAAAGCAGGTATCACATTGCAAGAAATTCTCACGGCAGTTATGGGTGGAAATACGGATGTACCTAAAAAGCAGAAAGTAGATACAGTCAAATGCCGCTAAGACGATGTTCACTTAGCAGATATATTCAATTGTGCGATATATTTTCTCGCACCGAATCAAAACACCATATATTGTCCGATATTCAAGATAATCATCATTCTGCCTCCAATTATCATATTATCCATCAACCAATGTGTGTTTCTTGACCTTCAGAATGCCTCGAAAGCAGCCTATTCTACTCAAACAACGCCGTGCCCTTCGTGCCTGGGCTCGGAAACAACATCAAAAGCCAACTCAAAAGCAGTGTATCGAATGGTTCCTCCAGCAATATAACCACAAACTTAGCC